AAAAAAATTCTTGGAGATAGTTGTCCCAAAGTTTTGTTGAGAACAACTCTTTATTTGATAGGCCTAAATTTTGGGATGCGGGCTGGGGATGAGCATAGAAATTTGTCCATAAGGAATTTTTCATTTCATTGTGATTCCGAGGGAAGGGAATATTTGCTTTATTCTGAGGGTGTGTCTAAAACCATCCAGGGTGGTTTAAAACATCGTAAGCTAACTCCTAAAGTTAGTAGGGCATATGCTAACGTCCAATGTCCAGAGAAATGCATTGTGCGAATTGTGAAGAGTTACATAGAAAGATGCCCAAAAGAGGCATTAGATAATGCATTTTATTTAAAGCCCTTACAAAATTATGAGCAGAAGAAGTTCTGGTATTGTAGTGTCCCCTTGGGTCATAATACGCTTAAGAATGTAGTCCAATCAATGATGAAAGAAGCTGGGGTGGATGTTTTTTTCACAAATCATTCTTTAAGAGCAACAGCTGCAACTAGATTGTTCCAGGAAAATGTTGATGACAAATTAATTAGGGGTGTCACTGGTCACAGATCAGAGTCTTTACAGAGCTACAAAAGGGTATCTGACAAACAATTAGCTAAGGTTTCCAATRTTGTTCAATCTGGGAAGGAAGGCATTTGTAGTAGCAACGAAACGGCAAACATTGGGAAACCGTCGCCCGAAGCTTTGGGGATTCCTAGTAATTCCGGGCAAATATGTTTGAATAGTGTAAGTGGTGGTGCCRTATGCAATATTACAATTCATAACAATTGATTTCTTTTTTTGACATAGAGTGATTTTCATTGTTCTGTTTAAAGACCTTTAAGGTAAAACTAAGCTTATAGTAGAGAATTCTTTCCCTAAGTCGGCTATAAGGCTTTGACGGATCAAGAAAATCACTCTATACCAGCTACTATTATCAAAGTATTATCAAAGTGTTACACTTTCATATAATTTATGATTTATTGATTGAAATAATAATTTATCGTAGCCTAATCATAGTGCATTGAATGTTCATTAAAGATTATYTCTTGTTGTTGTCACCTGTTCTCKTTGTATAAATTTCGTATTTTTATGAAAACTACCCAGATATTCTTGAAGTCATTATTTCGGCTAATAACGACCTCCTAGTAATAATGACCTCGCAATAATGACCTCGCAATAATGACCTCTCTTTTGTTTAATTCATCAGCCCCACTCTTCCCTGCTGAATTCAAAACCCTCCCCGACTTTAAGACACCAAGATATTAAAAATAAGGAATACTTCAAAACAATGAAAGTGTGTATTAAATACAGAGATCAACACGCTTAGTACTTGTGAAGCAACGGCAACGAATATAAATATTGAATATCAATACAACTCATTAGAAAATGCTTATAATTTCATGGCTATTTAAACATCTGCAATGGGTATGTCGAGTATTAATGTAGATGTGCAAAAATATTGCGTTACCATCATAACAAAAAGTTAATAAAGCGTCACGTTGTAACCAAATCATACCTACAATCCAAGACAAAATTGTATGGGACAACACGCTATTACTGCGGTCTAGCAGATGCACTATCTAATCGGCTGTTTAAATGCTGACTCAAACCCTCCCCCCTACCCCCACTGTCCATGTTGGTGTTGGCGGGAATGTTTCGGTATGGATGGAGGGTTTATTTCGAGTAATTAGGGGGTCACGGGGGTAAATTGTCAGTAAGTTTTAGTAGAGATACATGTTGTCCCATGGATTTTGTCTATGATTGTAGTTATATATCTRACATTAAAATTATACTGCAGAATCACAAAGGCGGGTACAGCTGACATTTTAARAGCCACCACATATAAGCTTATCGCAAAAATCACATATATCTTGGCAATGCTCGAAGGATCAAATCATTTTTTATTTTGTATCATTAAGGTTTAAGGCCTCATTTACTAATGATTTCACAACATCATGTACAACAAGGGTACGTGTCAACCCTTCAAACCCTGCATACAGGGTCTAGTTCTACTATACTATGTGAGCAATGTGGTCAACAACTGACATAAACGACCTTCTCTGATATTAAGTACCATGCAATTAATCATAGCAAACATTCTGYTCTGTCATCTGGAACAGCCTCTAGACTTTCTCTCCGCCCAGGTACTTCAACAAATGCAAATGTCACTCCAGTCTTAAACTAAAACATAGTACAAGGAAGGAATCATGTAATTTCTTGAATGCCTTCGCGATTTTGCTTTGCAAAACGGACAGATTTGTCTTTGAAATCTTCAMGACTTTCCACCGCAAAGTTCTGGTGTTTTGTCTGTTTTTTGTTACTTCATTCTATTTACATATAGTATATATCATATATATAATATTACATAGCAAAACAATTTTTAATATAGTTGACAATATCATAAATCCTACCGAAGCAGTGATTTCGACTTTTCCCAGGTATATTGTGCTATTCTCAATCCTTGGTCTTAGTAATACTGCAAGTGATAAGATTTATGCATCCCTTCAGACATTGTTCAGACGCCTGACGACCGAATTCGTCGTTTTTGCAGCTGATACGATAGTTTTTGCCGTCGTTATTGTCCCAGTATTCAACACCATTCACTCTGTAACATAGAGCGAACTCGATGTTACAGTTGTCTTCAAATAACCAAGTACACATTGAAATTCGAAACGTGAATTTATCGGTGTTTTTGTCGGCCGAAGTCGACAGGTAGTCGGCCCAGACATCGCGGTACGTTTCCCAGTTATTCGTGGTGTACCTGACAGTCACTTCTTTCTTAAACTCGATATTATGAACGCGTACAAGTCCAAGTATAGCAAAMTGCGAATGAAGTATGTTTTCTAAACATATYTTTTTCTCAATCGCTCGCCTCACTAAAGAAGAAGTGTCTTTTTCTAGCTTGAATCGGCATTTCGCTCTGTGCAAAACCAAGGGCTTTACTTTTTCCTCTGCTTTCGATGGATAACATTTAACGGCAAATAAGTTGTCTGAGCTGTTATTCGGTGAGATGATTTTTACGCTGGTTAACGCAATATCACTCAACGGCGAAGTGTCAGCAAAACGAACTCKTTTCCGTACGTGATTATGATTTTTAGCATTATTTGGAAAAGAACTGCAAAGCATCAGGGCACTCATGACCACCGAAGCAACGTCTGCTCTCATTCATCCTTAGAGCCAAACGGAAATAGCTGATTGTCATTCATTGTAGGAAACGTGCACGCTTACATGCATCAGCCGACAAATCAGCGTCTAGCAGTGTCTTTATTGAGTTTGACAAATGTCACGTTAGGTCACGTGAGATTACGTGAATATCAACGTTTATGTCAGCATGAGCTATAAAAAATGCCTGGTTAAAATAACCCAAAAAAAATTGGTTGTTTTTATGCATCACAGGCGACCAGTTCGAGTTTGATCGCTTTAACCAATTTTACGTTTTTGGTTGATCCAACCCAACTKGTCACGTTGACCAATAATATATTGTTGGTATGACTGATTGTAATTGGTCATTTTTACCAATTAAATGATTTGGTTAAAATGCATCACAGGTARCCAATTCCATATGGTCATGTTAACCAATTACATTTTGGTTGTTCTGACATAATTGAAATGGTTAATACTTTTRTATACATTCATGCAATTAAGTACCAACAAAAGGCAAAACAATATTCAAATTCATTGTATTTATTGTGATACTATAAAAATTCAACAACTATTAAATACAAAGTTTTTATCATTTACCTGATTATTCTATAAGAAAAGCTGATCCCTTACCCTAAATCATTTTATAAGTGTTTTTCACTAGCCCTACATATATGCAAACTATCATCTTGGTGTAAACCAACATGCCAATAATAAAAATACATCTAGTTTATCAAAAAACAATGAAAAATGTGCTAGCACATGAGGATTTACAAGAAAATTTGCCCACATTCTTATATACTTGGTTAGATTTCCTATTATACATGTGCTACACTAAGGGCAAGGTTATACATCTGACCCCACATGTGCTGAATGCAATTACATCAAAGAAGACTGATAATAATATATTGTTTGAATTGTATTTGGCACATGTGAAGTTCGATGTATAACCTAAGCTTAAGAGTCCCTCTGTATACAAGTTGTTTTTAAAATATAATTTCATTGATAATTATATGATCAACAGAATATTATGCATGGTTGCTTGGAGATAAGGATTATCAATCTCTCACTTGTTTGCTACCCTGACTCATGAGAGAACTTTTCAACACTTGAGGATAAAATCTGTATCTCCACACATATGTAATATCTTATACATTGTCTTATGATATGAGAATAGTGTTATTATTAATTATTATTGAGGACCCAGTGTAATATTTTTAGATTAATTTCCAGCAGAAAAATACACAAACTGCAACAAATACTTAAGTATATAAACAAATATTGTATGTATATAAATGTACCATATATTAACTCTAGTATGCAAAATAAATATGGGTAAGCAGAGTGTAAAGTATCATGAGCCTTCTACTATGTACAGCCAAGGGCGCTAGAACTGAAATTATGACCTATAAGATCCAAAAATTGCTTAATTTATCCAACAAAAGATAGTCGATAATAAATTGTAAAGTTTTACTTATCTGAAATATACACTCAAATGTCCTCTTAGACACTAAAAAGCACTTGATTTTACGAAATTCATCCAAATGATCGGTAATCAAACTCTCAAGCGGTTGTTGCTGAATTTATTACCGCTGTCCTTGTTGTACCAGCCACTGCTGTCTCGCCAGGAACGTTATTCATTAACCGGATTAAAATTAAGATCGGTAATGGGATTAAAATCACTTTGCCCTGGCCGAACTTCGGCCAGGGCAAAGTGATTTTAATCCGGTTAATGAATAACGTTCCTGGCGAGACAGCAGTGGCTGGTACAACAAGGACAGCGGTAATAAATTCAGCAACAACCGCTTGAGAGTTTGATTACCGATCATTTGGATGAATTTCGTAAAATCAAGTGCTTTTTAGTGTCTAAGAGGACATTTGAGTGTATATTTCAGATAAGTAAAACTTTACAATTTATTATCGACTATCTTTTGTTGGATAAATTAAGCAATTTTTGGATCTTATAGGTCATAATTTCAGTTCTAGCGCCCTTGGTACAGCTATGCAGTAATGTAACAATCAAGAGGCTGCATTCGAAAACAGCAAGTTTTTATACATTCTGCATACCTCCAAAGTAATTATAAAAGTGATATTTAAAAGCTGATTTAACTTAGAGGTTAGCTATACATGTGAATTTTCAAATGTGCTATAAGCATTTACAGTAACTTAATACTTTATAACTTATTAGTTTTACTCAGCTGTCATCTTGAACTTGTGCGGAGTTTTTCTTTAATTTGACTTAAACTTGCGCAGAACTGTTGAAGAGAAGATACTATATTACAATACACATCAGTGTTCATTTAATCACTACAATCTAAGGTCAAAAAAGTCACCGAACCGATCTTGTGTGAAAGTCAAATCGCCCATAGTTTCACATCCATATTTTATGTACCCTGCATCGAAACTAAATCACGATTTTCATCACTAAACCTAACCAAAACATTAACCTAATGCTAACACAGGAGTAAACCAAGGAATTTTATTCATTAATCATGTTTAGTTCTTTCGAAATAAAACGTTTTGACTTCCACAAACTTATGAATAGCTAGCATTTCAAGATCTTTTTATAGTAAACACTGAAATACTCGTACTCACCGAATTCCAGCAGCAAAGTGTAAAATAGTTCACCAAGCTCGTTTAACAGGATCTCAGATAAGAACATCTAATCATGATTCTGGTTCTTGGAAGCACTATGAACTCTAAAAAGGCTAGAATTCTACTCGTGCTAAGACAATCGAACAAAAAGTGCCGCGGTTTCAAATGATACAGGATCGCAAAGAGCTATGGGATAGTAATATGAGGAGCTCATCACCACCTCTGCTGATGCTCTGTACTATTTTATTATTTTCTCTGGCCACGAGTCATTTAGCCTGTGTTACATCCGGAATTTAGACAGAATTTAGACTTGAATGCTTTTGAACATCATTGAAAACTTGTATGCGGGTTCATATTCGAGCGAATTTGACTCAAATATTCGCTCTTTTGCATGTACAGTACTGAATTCCCCAGTATAGACGGCAAGTCGGTCGGCCATACGTATTCCCAAGTTATATTCAGTTATATTACTACATTATTTCAACCAATAATTAGTTGGTTAAATATAGGTTGTTAGCTTTAGCCAAAAGTTAATTATCCGATCAAACATTAGTAATTTTAATTTTCAGTAAAACTGGCCAAGAACTGACAATTTATTTTAAGAATGCCTTAAAACTATCTATTGATTTTTATAACCAATTTTCTAATAGTTATGCTAACCAAAAATGAAAAAAAGTTATAGAATAACCTATTCAAAATTGGTCATTACACTGAACAACCAATAGAAATGGTTACAGTGACCAGAAGTGAAATTGGTCAACTCGTTTCAACCAAATACTCTTGGTCAAAACAACCAATACTGTTTGGTTACGACCATTTTTATTGGTTATCTTAACCAAGCATTTTTTACAGTGATARCGGTCGTTTTTGAATATTATATGAATGATGTGACACATGAGTTGAGCTGCCAATAAAGTTGRATTGACCGATCCCTATTCATTATCCTACCTCCATAGTTACTGTTGCTACGTCAGAGACGCGAAAATATTCCTTTGATATAGCATGGAAAAGATACTGATTGCTGCGATATTTATAGGAACTTGCCTTGTGTTATATGTTCTTTTTTTTTTTGCATTTTCATCAGGAAAAGCTAATGAATTTAGTAAAAATATTCGATTTTCTGTTTGTTGTTTGGACAGTTTCAATTCATTTGAGAAAAGTACTGCTTGTTGTTTGGTGAAATCTATGTGAAGAAGGGATCGGTGAGTGAATTGCATGGGTGACAGTCACACGATCGGTCGTTTTGTAGAGGGGATTTTGTATGACTGTGAAAAAACAAGGCACATATCTTTATTTTTAATTGGAATCGCTGGAAGGCGAGGCTCAGTGTCCCTGTCGTGATTCAGTCATACGAATTACGCTCTAACGAAGAGAGTGGACGTTCACCTCCTCATCATTTCCCCATCGAAGCAAAAGGTCGTCTTAGTTTGAGAAAAACMAGAATWAACATCTTGAGCTAAGTTCTSAGCATGATAAATTCATAGGAGTGACCCGAGCAGACTCTCTCCATCTCCCTCCCCCTCCTCCCTTATTCTATGAAACTGGATTTCCGTTCGGGTTGGTCAAGGGTGTTCATCTATTGGCTGTAAGGTGTGAATCAAAAGAGTGGATCAAACGGAAATCCCAACGAAAACGAAATGAAAATTGGTTTCATCAATGAAAGGAAGCATAAAAATTCAAAGTTAGTAACACGTCCTTATAGCTGAAGCATGGTGCTAATAGACGTTGAAAGCATTTCTTCAYATTTACAGACTGCACAAGAAATAGACTTTCTGGCAGGTGATAAAAAAAAAAACAGTTTTGGTGCATACTTTAAGGCAGCTGCATTCACATGCAAGCTAACATTTCAGTGCAGTTCGAAACAAAATTATGAATTAATTATCAAGATGAGTGACTGCGCCTGTCATGGAAAAGAGTTATTATCGTTCAATTCAATTGTTATTGGCGAAATTAACTGAAACAAAAGACCGATAATTATTTCTTGAAAAAAAAGCACATTTATTTAACCACGATAGTTTACTCAACTCAAACTACATAGGTTTGAAAGCGATTTTTCGAACAGTAACATTTGATAAAATGATTGATAATCTTTCTTGCTAGAAATGACTGCTCTTGTTCCAGAACTGAAAAACGTTTCAGCTCAATTATTGCTTTGTCGGAAMTGATGATTTTAGATATTTCAAATTTCGACTCACCAATATTGAAAACTATAGCATTATGTTTCRAGAGAGACAGTGGTAGATGTTTGACAGGTGTTTATTCTGCATTTCACATGTTAAAAATCATGCGTAACTGATGCAACTGATGCGGCTATAGATATCTTAAAAAAATAGAACGATAAGAATAAATGCTTTGGACAGAATTAATATTAATGAGGTTTTATGTTCTCTTTAAAACGATCACTGATGTCACTGCAGGTAGACATCAAGGCACACATCGAGTTAGAAAAAAAGTGAAAAATGTTTCACAATTTTTYTAAACGCAATTTTTCAATTGTCGATTCTAATGTGGATAAACTTTTTTTATATTTGGGTACTGTGAACTGAATATACTCAAGTCTTATATGATTATTGATAGCTTTGGTGTAGACATGTCTTCATTAATTCAAATATAGCCGTAAGGTGCGTAGCATCAATGAATTCTCCGTCTCTTCCTTATACATACGTCTAATTGAAAATAACTTTGTCATAGAAAAATAGAACATTTGAACATTTGYATTTAGCAAAAAGGAATACACTAACAAAAGAAAGAATTCAGTCCGAGTAATCTTTCTTTGTCTTTTTAAATTATACCTTTTTAGTCAGTACTAAAGCAAAAATGTTCTATTTTCTACGACAACATTTTTGTTATTAGGTGTACGTAAATATCGTTCACATCAGAGTCCTATAAATATCGCAAAGTCATTACAAGACTTATACCACTTCAGGATGGAATATGCGTCGATCGAAGTAAGTTTCTTCCAATTCAGTCTATTCTTCAGYTCTGATCGCTATCGCTTCTAATAAGGCTAACTTCGTAATTGAATCTAAATAGAAGTCTATCTCTTAAATTAATAATTCTTTGAGTTATATGATTCAGTGCTAAAACTTTCATCTTTTGTTGTTGCTTCTTCTAGATTGATGATATATTTTGAAGTGCAAACTGGAGATTAAAGATATGGTGAATGTATACTAGCCCGAGTGAATAAGGCGAACGTGAATTTGAATRGAAGGGAAAAAGTAATGAAATCGGTCCAGGTGTACGTCGCTGTTCTGAAGAAACGAATTCCATGGGCCTTCCATGATTTGTACAAATATCAATTAACCAAAACGTGTCCACTCTAAAAAAMCAAAAAAGTGCCACAATCTCTATAAAACAATTTTAATCGAAATTGCCTGCGGAGATAATTCTCCATTAGCAAGACATAAAATCAAAAATTCAATTTGCATTTATTTTCATTGGGAAAACATGTCGAATTCAACGCGTTATTTTGAGTTGTATATAAATGTATTCGAGTRTGAGTTAAGGACGTCCTTAAGTTAGGCCCGAGGSCAACTTTGTTTTTACACGTCTTCTCATTATGCCATAGATATATCATGAGACAGGATCTTGATAGACAATAAATCCCCTCAAATGTCATTACGTTTTTAATATATAATCACTGTAAAGGATTATTTGTATTGCACTTAAGCTCACCTCTATAAGTCGCTGATGGAAATCTTAAATGGTCGACGCGGTCTGGTGAACTAGTAGTAGAAGCTTTGAGTGAAAAAGAAAGCATATGCTTTGAGGCAATTAGGGAAATGTACCAGATTTTGATCAAACAAACGTGCAGAATCTTAGATTTCAAGCGGTGTGTATAGATGATTTGATAACTATTGGTTAAAAATTTCATTCGATTAGTCATAATGTTACCGAAGGCATTTCTAAACAACATACACGCTTGTCTTTAACTGACTGATTATGCAAACATTGTAAASATACTGGCGACCGAGAAAGACTGAATGCCATTGTACTGCCATTGTACTTAGAAAGTCTAGAATACTTAAAAGCTTATTATGAACTGTTTCTTTTATTGTGAACTGCTTTTTTACCTGGTGCACCAGGATATTTCCCAGGGAAAACACCATCAGAAGTGACGTCATCCATAAAAAACTGCCTCTATAATTGTAGCCTCTCACCGGCCAAATTTTTGAATAGGGAGGGGGGAGGGGTGCCCGTGCTATTCATTTCTGTCTTCAGCTGGTTATAAAATCTGATAGACAATGAAAAGGAAACAGCAGAATTGGACTACAGAGAACTAGAAAGTAGTTATTTTTTAAGAGCTGTGAATACATCTYAAACTACAAAAGTATTTTTTTTAAATATTATAGCCAATATACATTAGAATACTCTTATCACAAACGCTTTTCGACGTGCTCAAATCCGTCATCCTAGAAGATTTGGAATAAAAAGGGATTATTTGTATAGGCCATGTATATGTATGTTCAATGTTTAAAATGATGTGTAGTCAGTTTGATGTTGTAGAAGTATGCAAGTACAAGAGAAAACAAACGACTTGCTTCATCTGTGTGCTGATGGTGTGCACTCCACTCCACACCAGCTATATCATGAGTTACATCAGACAATTACTATCTATCGTATAAGTCGTGAAATAGCGCATGGTAGAGACAAACTAACAAGAGACTGAAAACTTAGTTATACAGAAGCAWGCCGGGGACGCATGTGTGAATGAATGATAAAGCTGTCTAATTGTACGACGGCTTAACCTTTTCAAAGCATGGTCAATCAATCAATGAACTATATGTTATGCAGTTAACTTTTGCTTTGGTTAATGTGTCAGCAGACAATCAATAATCGGCACTTTTGGTTCGGGTAGACTGAAAAGACCGTCCGCCCATGGAGACCATGGAGGAATCTCCCAAAACAATTAATTGAAGACTGTGCAAGAATAGAAGGACTTTAGAGAAAGCATCACATCAGTTTTCTTACAATAGTTCTGATAGATAAAGCTTTTTTGATTATTACTAGAAAAGATCAACACAGTATAATTATTTAATTAGTCCAATTATTCACGCCTTCAAACATTGTCAATGCAAACAGTTTTCGCAAGGTTATAGCTGGATTAACATGATTGGTCAAAAAAGCTTTCTACTTGTTGATATACAAAGCTTGTTCCCACTTTTCTGTGGCTTGTGATTTTATCGAAGGAAACAAATCTAATCGGATGCGATGAAAATGGATATTAAAACGCTCGCGTCTTCATAACAGCAGTTGCCAAAGTACTTCCGTTCAGGAACTCCTTTTGTCTGCCGTGTTGGTTGATTGAACACAACGAGAGAACAATAACTTTTGCAAAACGAAAAGAATATGAATGGTACTATTAATTGCTTCTTGTCTTACACATCACTTGCCACCACAGACCAAAAATGCCAAAGATGTCTCGTGAATATTACCTGATTAAAAACCCATTTGGCAGTCAAATATTATGATTTGCCTGATGGGGACAATTCTTCTTGGAGGCACTGATCAGACAGTCTTTCAATAATCATAGACAGGATTAAATTTTCCCAAAAGTTTCTTTTATCACAAAGAAGGAATGGTTCAGTTTGGCGTTACACACTTAATATATTGTACACATATAATTATATACTCTCATATATATTATTTTCTTATTAAAAAATATTACAGCCTAYATGTTTCAATCACCTGTTTTTATCCTTATAAAGGTCGGAAAAATATTACGGTATTAGATATTCAACGTTTTGTACAAAATAATGTCTTCTGATCATACACTGATCCTTGTACAAAACAAAAAAGGCACCATGTATATTTATATCTCTTTTACACATTGCGTGACACTCGTCTTTTTAAAGCCATTAATATATTCTACTTGCACGAAAAGAGATTTCGAGTCCAAAACCCTTACACGCTAGTTAACGTCTCCTTTTTGCATTGTAGTATTTCATTCCATCAGAAACTTCCTGGTTGAACACAATTAAATTCTGTTGCTTTCAGGAATGTATTTATGATATTTGCCCTTAAATAAGGCATATTGCAGTAGAAAATGTGACTTTTAAGCATGCAAGGATTCGTAATGATACTGAACATCAGTCTACAAATATATAACGAAACTTGCTCTTGTTCATCAAACGAATAATTGTATCGATGATATAAATATCAGAAATTCAGGAAAAATAACTTTGTTTGTAATTCTCGAGTTATCTGCTTTTCATGCATTAATTTAATGATCAGTAATCACTGTGTAGTGATTTTTACCATGTAGTTCAGTAGTACCTCAACTTCTTGATATTTTTTACTGTCTGCGAGACACCTCGAGGATATTTGGTGGATCTGCATTATTGTCTATTCATAGCTAAACGCTTGAAATTCAAGTGATTTTAGACTATTTTCCAGGTCCTAGACTTCCATTYAATCTAGCCTTTTCCTGGGCTTTTAATTACCACTGGTTCTCGACATACTACACGGTAATTYTTTCTGTTATTATTGTCCCAGAACTCCAGACGACCTGCACGAAATCTGACAGCGAACTCTAGTTCTGAGCCAGCGTCGATGTTATGCAAGAGATAAATGCGAAACTGAAATCTGTCCTCGAGTCCGCCTTCCAGTTGGTTCACATAGTCTGCCCATACGTCTTTGTACGTTTTCCATTTGTCCATAGAATACCTTACYGTAACATCTTTTGAGAAGCAAATGTTTTTCACGATCACTGTACCGGTGACTGCAAATCCAGAAAAAGCAAGATTTTCTAAACATACATTTTGTTCTGAGAGTCTATCTTTAAAATCCTTCAAAGATGATGGCTGTTGGAAGTCRCAGTGCAAGAAATTTATGTTTTCCGGCCGGCGAGGTGACAGGTCTTCCACACTACTGTTTGGTGTGATGGTCTTGATCGAACAAAGCGACTGCCCGAGATGATCGGCGAATGTTACTTTTCTCTTCGTTGGACTGTCTGGAGGACTGCATTGATTTTGTTCAAACTCCTCTCTGTCTTTCATATCGATGAAACTTTCGATTCACCTTCATCGGGTTAATACTGTAGGCAAGAGCCGCGCTGTAGTTGGCCTGTAGCTCGCTCGGTTATATGTACGACCAAGTTCGTGACAAACTGCATGTGTGCTCCAGTGAGCTCTTGACGTCAAAACTAGGAATTAATAGACACATTACGTCATATGAAACATAGGTCGAAGTGAAGCTTAAATMATTTTTGGCGCGCCAGAAAACTYAGGCATGTCGGGCATACCAATAATAAATCGCTCAAATAAACAAGAATATGATCRATAAAAAAGGTAAAGAATTACAAGGAGTAAAATAATTCGTCAAAGTTGATATGCACATACTAACAATGGTCACGCTACTTCGAAAACTGTCACGGCACAACGTCTGCTTCGACTATTCGTGCAAAAATTCACATCTTAATGAACCATGKAATGTAAAACTAACGGAAGAAACAAMAATGCAATGTTCGAGTGCTAATAAGAGAAAATAAAAATGCAAAGCTCAGTGAATTTTATAACCAAGCGAATAGCGGAATATCCGTCATGCTAAGTAACATGTTCGTGAGACCTATTATTTAAAAAGAGACTAGCATGTATTTTATTTGTTATGCTTTTCGAGTTAAATACATCGTAAATAGATAATTAATATTACTATACTAGATAAAATTATAATTTCATAGARTAATAATAATTTTTTATCCACAGTTCTACTCAGTTTCATAATGATAGCTATTATAAATRTGAAATGGTTTTTCCATCCAAGAGATTTTATCTGAGTACAAAAGAAAACAAAGAAGAAGAAAAAGGCTGGGAACTATTTGGACAAATAAACATGTAAGGTTGCATAAATTATYTTTGACATCTTTTGACACACTTGGATGTTTGACAAATGAATTACACCTCAAGGAAGCCATTGTTCTTGTTTTCAAATTTGGTGCTTTTCACTAGTTAAGGACTATTACTTCTCATACTCATTAATTATTCATGATGTATCCAGCCAATTCCTGATTGTACTTTGTACCACGTGCAGTAACTGGATACTAGAGGAAGTGCGCCTACCTTGTATTCCACCTTACTTCCACTTATTTTCACCTTGTTTTCAAGTTACTTCTACCTTATTTCCAGTTACTTCTACCTTGTTTCCAGTTACTTGTACCTTTTTCTAACTACTACTAGCTAATTATAACCAAAGTATTAGAAATTATAAATTTAATACAGAATTAATTTAGTGAAAAAAGGTCTTTGATACATGACTCCCTAACGAAACGATCCCAAACCGTCCAGTCTATATGCGCTGTCTTATACAATCACACCACCAAGTTTCTGATGCGATTCCTCGGAACATAACATACTTATAAAACTTATGAAATAGGCTCATTAGGAATGCCATGAATAGCAGACAAAGACAATTTGAAAAGCTTTTTTTAGAAAGCCGTGCGAGAATTGAAGAACAAAAGTGGTACTTCTTGTATTCAAAATTATGAAAACTGAAAACCTTGATGGAGATGTAATAAATCAATATATTTCTGTTTTATGTTCAAAGTCCTCAAATTTGGATTGGACGGGATTTCAAGTCCTTGGAATAATTTTCAGAACTAATTGCGTGGATTTGAAATCCCGACCAGTCCTCATTGTYGGACTTTAAACATTACATATAGTAGAATAGCCAATCAAAATGTAGGATTTGCATTAATCCACTAGTATGGTAAYACTAATACTTATTAGTCTGTATCGGAAACCTGTCTGTATTTACTAATGCTGTATTGTCACTGAACCAGACAATAAACACTACTTTTTTATTTCTTTCAAAATTSAAGTGTGCCAACTGATGAAGAAACTTTGAAAGTACAGGGCAGTATCAGGTTGTAGGCTGCTATACATGTCATGKAACTATGGTGGAAGCCTGTTATATGACAAACGTCTTTTTATTATAAGATGAATGCAAAAAATGAAATCTTGAGCTGGGTAAAAGTCATTGGATGTTARAGTTAACCCAGGATTAGCGCTAATCGAGCTTTAAACAACCAGCCCAGAGGTCCATGGAAAAAAGGCAATGTAATAAATAAACATAAAAAACTTTACAGGTATTCTTTCAAGCAAAAATAATTATGAAATTGAATAATGTGTGAAATACAGTTGTCTTTCATTTCAGGGTTTAAAATAACACAWTACATTAGTAAACTAAAATAATTTTATGGTAATGACTGCAAAACATTATCAGACTGTTCTTTGACATGTATAGCAGTAAGCCAATTGTTTAACTCATTTACATAGTAGGAAACTGCACACCTATTATGATTATGTTGCACTCTAGTAATAAAAACATAACAATTAAATAACAGAAAATTTACAAAAGATTGTCTTGCGTACACTTCTATTGCCTCATCTTTACCCAAAAACGTCTTGAAACTGAAATATTCTTTTTTTGCTATACATTTGCTTATGAAAAGAATAGTCATTAGCTGATCTGACTCTATAAAATCCAGACACAGGGAGATGTGGCCATCAATGCAATGAGGACATTCCTCGTTTTTGTCYAATTCAAATTAATTCTATCACTATTTTAGTTTGAATTTCAGAGAATAATTGAAAGCAAATTATAACTCTTCCCACCTCTGTTCAACGTGTTCTGTTTAATAAATCAACGTGTTGGTGGCAGCAATCTCAGAAACCATTCGATAAAGCACAGGATCTGTATTCGGACTCATTCACAGCACATTCTACTCTATAATTTATTCCCCCATTATTGTCCCAGTATTCTTGTCCATCAGTTTTGTAACAGATAGCTAGTTCTAAATTCCCACCAGCAGCTAAGAAATATTCCGGTAACGTGACAGCAAAAGAGAAGCGGTCAGAATTACCGTCGTACGAGTCTAGAACGTAGGTAGCTCCAACATCTGTGTGCGAATTCCACGAGTCCAACGTGTAGCGAACAATAACTTCCTTGTGATATGCTATATTTTTCACTTTTACTGTTCCTATTAGTGAATTTTCAGATTGAATAACCGCGTTTTCAAGACAAACATAATCGTGTTCGAGTCTCTCTCTGAAGCCATCCAGTGAAACGGGTTGTTGAAAGCACATTCTTAGTGACTTTTTAGCTTTTTGCATCTCCTTTTTTACCTGAGCTAAAGATACGTGTATATTATATTCTTCTTCACTATACGCAGACACGAGAGGCTTTCCAAAACTGTCTGCGAAGTGCACATTCTTTCTTTTTGCAGGAAGGGAGCTGTGTCTTCGCAAGATAGATTGGCAGCCATCTTCGTCATCGTCGCTGAAAGGTGTTTTCCCTGCCCTTACTGAAGAAACTCTGCGAAGAGACATGGCTACATTGTTTATAGTGTGCAGAATCACATTTTTTTATCAATAAATGCATGGAAAAGCCTCAAAAAGTGGCACACTTTCATATTGCATGATCGATAGATCTGATGTGCACCATGTCACGTACCTGCAGATGGCCATATAAGCCGCCCTCTCATTGGTTSATTTTAACCTTTACGTTCTCTTTGTCTGACCATTGAGCGCTCGTCAGGCGCACTCTTTGACATTCATATTAAAGTAGGACGGAAATCACAAATCTCTGCTGTCCTTTTACAGGTGATTTTACTATTTTCCGCTTAAAGCCGTATTATGAGCTAGTTGCATGKTTAACATTGTTCACTACTTTGGCAACATTTACATTTATAATGTAGTCATGGATGGGATTCATGCTTTGTCTCCAGTTGTCCATTTCTAGTGTCACGCTTTAGGATGTCACGCTGTCACGGATGTCACAGATGCGACAAAAGAAAGGGAAACTCCACATTCACTCATCAGGGATCAAACAACAAAGTTGGTTGTTCAGCAGTTTACAAAACTTATGAGCTTTAAGGTTAAAATAGAAGTGTACATGAATACTTATCGACCTTATCAAGTCGATAAATCCAGTAATTGCAAGAAAAGGAAAAATGTGTAAGTTACTGAAATAACAAAAACAACAGCAAAGCGAATCTAAGTATGGCTGAACAGCTAAAAATAAAAACACTCATATTTTTGAGAATTKATCCCTTCAAAAGTTTGTGAAAATTTTGTGCTTTTATGGCATTATCGTAAGTTTTCAGATCTTTCAACTTTATCATCGATCTTCAAAGGATAGTCTAATAATACTAGATTAGACAATGGTGACAATGCTTTTTAATGGTGTATGTAGATACCACAAACCTCTTTTTTCTGCTATAAGGCCAACCAAAAACAAAAAGACAAAGGAAAGTCAAGCATGCGGCATGATGCTGAGAAAAAAACGCGAAAATTGTTGAGTCATCTTGTTTCATTGTTATAAGTGAGCTTTACAGAAAACGCACTGTCATTCGTAATTGAAGTAACTCAATCGCTAATTTTGTCCGTCACGGATCAAAATACGGCCCTCGGGGATGTATATGGATTATAACGTCCGTTCTCGGTTCTCTCTCATTATGATATTGGTCAGTGAATGTTGGTTATGAAACACTAAAGACGAAGGATTAACGTCAGGAACGTCAGTAATTGTTTCAGGTAATGTTAGTTCAACACAGTGAYAGATAGAGTGCTTTTACACTATGTCCATGAAACAAAATAGTTACTAACAAATAGACTAGTTTTATTTAGTGACTACATTAGTCAATAGTGAATACATTAGTCACTATCATTCAACTGGAACAGTCTTAGTAACAATACATTCTGTACACTTGGGAAAATGAATACAAAGGAAACAATACCTCATTACAACTGTTCCAGTTGAAAGATAGCAATAGTCAATAAACAATAACTGTTAGATAGTAACTATTTAGATTTTATTCCATAGTGTAAGCACTCTATGGTGTGTAAGAACTGGCTGCTAGAATGAGCAGTTCATAACAAAATAACCTCAAAAACACTTCATAACAGAAGAATTTTAAAATTTAAAAAACTTTTTTACGGTACTGTTTCTTAAGAAACACTGACGCAGTTCACACTAGTTCACCGCTAATTTCCACTATGCTKATACTGATGTCCTAAGGTACTCTCTATAGGAAAACTTGATAGATGGGTCAAGGTGTATCAATTGAGTCTTTCCTGGGCTCTCTTAATTCTGTGGATGCGGGAATACTGCTATTTCAAAAARCGTTGTCGGGGAGAACRGYGAAYRGCGATTGTMGAAGGGAGATTSCACGACYGAAAGGGACTTTGGTTACACTGTTTTGATAAACAAAATTTCACTTATTGGATTCACCTTACATATAGAAATGGAGACCAAATGGTGCCTATGTTTACCACAGATGATCTAAACAGTACAAATGAGTTGTTAATGGCTTTCAACTAGCAAAATCCATGGCTACTTTCGGTCGYGCAATCGCCSTTCGACCATTGGCATTCGCCATTTTATCCGACAACTTTGTTTGAAATAGCTATACATACAAACTGAATTTATGGTGTTTAGGTAATGCAAACTATAGATAGCTGCTAATTTTATTTTGGCAGCTATATAAGTACAAGGACTATATTTACCATTATGATTAGCCTTCGTTACATCCGGTTTATTTCGCCATAAAACCGGATGTAACCCAGGCTACATTATGAGTGTTGTTTATAGAACGAGAGTGCGTGTTTTATCGGGATATACAGATTCGAGCCGAAGGCRAGAATCTATAWACCCGATAAAACACGCGCTCGAGTTCTATAAACGACTTCTARAACTCCAACATTCAGAAATTGTTATCATTTTAGAAAAAAGCTAAAAAGTGCGAAAACAAAGATAATGCATATCCAACTTCTAATRAGCATGTGCATTGTACCACAATTGAAAGAATTTTGATCCCACACGTWAGAACGGCTAGTCTATGCAATAGTGCATGTCTGCATATTGATTGAAATTGATTTAAAATCTGACAAAGGTCTATGATGCGACAATAAAACTGAGTCCTTTGCTAGTGAAGCGCTGATGACCTTGAACATCAGTYCTTTATATCTTATATAGAACTGATTAATAAAACATCAGTTCTATATATCTGATATAGAACTGATTAATAAAACATCAGTACTTTATCGGGATATAAAAGCCCATCATGTGACCCAATAGTTCGATGCTCATTGGACTAATAGCTCATGAATTATTAATGAGTTCTAGAATGCAGGGTTTGCATTTTTTTTTTCAGTTCATGCGCCAAGTGCGTGATACACATATTACTAAATACTACATATTCATGGACAGAAATCGTTATATTATAGTCCTTTAAATATAAGTTAGGATTCCATGCATCGCAATAATTTAGTTCAAAGAGCGTAGTTTTCGCTGTTGTCTGCTTGTTAAATACTGCACTCACGAAAACTTATACTTGTTTTCTTTTTTTTTTTGACAAAATTTTCTATATATACTTATATTACATAGATATTACATATATACAAACATTTTACAGCGCATGTGTAATGGGCATTAGGACAGCCTTATGAAAAAACATTGGGTACGAATGAAAAGCCCTGTCTTAATTACAAAAACCCGTAGAGAAAAAATACAATCCTTTTCTTTAGGCTTTTAAAATAATGTCGTGAATGCTTCAGGTTTCAAAATTGAAACTTATCACCACTCCAGTCATTTAGATTATGCGAGGACAGAAAGATCTGTCGATCATCGATCGGCGTTGATGCATTTATGGCCTAGTAATGTTTTGGAGGTCAGACAAGATCGTCAGACGGTATTTCTTCTCCAGATCGATCATGAAATCCAGGTGATCTTCGAGGCGAAAGTTACGTATCGGCTCTTCCTGAAAGCAAACGAGTTAAGTATATGAGATTTAATAGTTGAACAGAAAATAGCAAGAGTGACTTTACAGCAGCTGTAACTAACACCTCCTTAGCGTTTCTGGTAAAATTTTGCTATGTTCTATTATAGTATGGTGGAGGATAACAGAAAGGTCGGTAACAACAATTTTGAGATGAGACGGCGACACACCACAAGAAACTACTATAACTTTTTCACCACCAAAAATCATAGCTCTATAATTTGATAACAATCCCAGAAAAAGTGCAATCAAAATTTACAAATGTCCTCTTTTGACTCTTTCCATTACAAAATAAAGCTATCCTCCTACAAAAGGAAGTCATAGCCCGCGTAAAAGAACCTGATTAATAAGCCTTAATAGATCCTTATAATGTTAGGCTCTACCAAGCCTTAATAGGTCTTTATTATAATGTTAGGCTCTACCAAGACTCTAATTTTTTCAGATGAATTCGACTGTTTTATATTAAATTTTATATCCAGTTACTTTCAGTTTCAGTCATACTAATACATTTTTACAGAAATCCCAACAGAAATCCCAGACTTTTAGTTATAAGAGCCTTAGATTAGGTCTAATATCAGWAAGCAGCCAAWCACAATGAATCGCTAATGTGTCTTACTTTAAGCATAACCAGGAGTCTTTGGTCTTGAGTGCTCTTCAGAATTTCCTGTTGTAGATGTTTGAAGATCGCAATGCAGAAATAAACCTGAAAGAAATCAACACTTTCAGTAATCACATACACAAGGAATGAAAAGCTTGTTTCTAACTGAAAATTAKACACACGGACCCTGACCAGGAATGGCACCTAGGCGAAAAAAATTAGCACACAAGCGAGTCTGATAGCCTCTTGGATGAACCTCTGGCTAGGAAAATGAACGCACGCCTGGCTAGGACATTTGATGGAAAAGAGAWAGGTTGTCTTAGTTTTTGCTTAGTTATAGGGTAATATTATACCTGGTAGTCAATTCCAAGAGTCAAACACACACAGACATACAAACAAACATGATCCCACGGGAGGTAATTCCAAAAACATTGTCGTAACCAGTGCTGGCAAATCTGAAAATATGAATGAGGGATTTAATTGAAACAAACAATTCAACACATAAACAATTTAAAAATGAATGTAAAAAGACAAAGATCAATGAATGAATAAAGGTGCGAATAAGTGAATAGCTGGCTAAAAGAGTAAATAAACAAAAACTGGATTAATCAACCAACCGATATATAATAGAGCGGATTTCGTATGACTGTCCAAAAAAACACGGTACGTTCGTGCTGTGTCCGTACCGTGCCGTAGCCGTGATGCATTGAAAAATCTTTACTTTCATTTGAAATCCTAGAAGGCGAGGTTCCGTGACCATGCCGTGCCGTGTCCGTGTTGTGATCCGTGCTTTTGCACAGTCATACGAAATCCGCTCTATATAGAGACCACGTATCATTTACGAGGGTCTCAATGGGGTGAACCGTAAGCAGTACGATGACACCAAAAATAACCATACAATTGCTCACTGATATAAAAATTCTAGTTTCAAATTTCCTTTTTTAAAGATCGTTTTGGTATCCTTGTTTATACTTATTATTTGACAGATTTAAGAAAACAAGTTCGAAATAATCCAACTGACTCATATATTCAGATTTGTGACCTTAAAATATTACCCTGGGTACCAGAGGCTGGATTTACTCTTTCCTATAGTTTAGAGCGGATTTCGTATGAGTGGGAAACGGACGGTACTGTACTGTGACCGTAACCGTACTGTAACCAAATTCTAGTGCCCCAYTGGTTCACCAAAATTGTGCAGGCCAGGTCCGGTAACTGTGCGGTAACCGTGCGGTAACGGTGTCCCACTCATACGAAATCCGCTCTATTTGAGGCCGGAAGGCTGAACCGTAAACAAAATCAAATTAGGGACTGCGCCCAAAATTTATCAGGAGTGGTTGAGAAATGGGCCAAAAAATCAAAAAGTTAATTACTACCCCTCTCGCAAACGAAATAAATTACGCTCTGCCCATCCACACCCCCGTGAAATATTTATTTATTATTCGTGAATAAAGATTTGTCGCAAATCSTGGAACGCTTTTCTTGAGAAGTTTTCCACTTCAATAAGTACTTGGCCAAAAAKCACAGAATCTAACACTAATTTTTTCACTTTTCAATTAGCACATAACATTAGATTTTGCCCCCCCCCCCCATCTGGATAAATATGGCGTATAGTCCCTTGACTTATTAGTCTTATTTTAACCGTAAGCTGAAATGGCTACTTCACTGTTAAGATTTTGATTTACCTGCGATGGGGTGTAACCAGACATTCGAAGAGCAGAAAATACAAGAGGAACCTCTGCCTGTGGAAGAGTCAAAAAGTGTTATAGTAAAATATATTTTKTCAATTTTTTAAACCCATTTTGACGAATTAAATTTTCTGTCGATKTGTGTGCATATATTCTTTGTTATTACTTTGTTTGGTTTCTTCTCAAATTTTCCCCGCATAATCGTTAACTAATGGAAACTATTGAGAATCCCGTGTATTTCAAATAGGATACCTGCAAAATCAGCTCAATGTTATGGCAAGTGCATGAGTAAAGTGGTGGAATACCGCTGACTGTAAGTGACGTTGGAAGATGAACCTGAAATGCAAATGATATTTCCTTCGCTTTTTACCCTCCTGAATAATTAATGAGTTTGACCAGAAGGAATTGCGTGGACTTGAAATCCCAGTCATCAATGTTGTACTTGAGACATTAGTTTTTCAACAATTCACTTACTGTAAATAGATATATATATTACAAAAATATCATACAACGGAAATGTTGAGGTTGATTCACGATATTCCATGCTAAGGGTCCATTGATCTTGAACAAAGCATTGAACTTAGGCATCAAGGTACACTGGGAATAAGAGAAAAGATCGATACTCAGTGTTCTCGGTTTAAAAACGCTTTGTTCGTGATCACTGAGCCTGGTTGTAGAATATCGTGAATGCACTTTTAGTCCTTTCCCACCGATAACAACCTAATGCAAAATTTWTGCCTAATGTAGGGGAGGCCTAAACTAAAATTTTCATCCTAAGAGGTTCTTAAAACCCAGGTACTTGTACGCGGGCGTTTACTGTAGCTATTGGGGTATGATATGAGTCACGTCATGAATAAAAAAGAAAGGCGTAACGGTTCAACGAAGCCGACTCTTCAAACTTGCATGGTATGTTGCAGACGCGTAGCACATGACCTATGGCCATCTATACTGAATAGCTATAATCCTTAAAACTGCCTACAATTTTTAAGTCATGGTTCAAAACACGTACGAGTAATGGTGTAGCAAATGCATCATCAGGACTGATGAGAAGTTCARAAAATCTTGAATGTTAATACCTATAAAGTACGTAGGAGTGTTCATTCAGGCTAGCAAAACACTGAGAAGAGTTTGAAAGAAAAAGGCGCAGGCAATTATGTCTATCAAACTTGAAGAAAAGTGTTTGATCTAATAGTYTCACTAATTCAAAATTAAGAAATTAATGGCAAGTTGCTTAATTCATGTAAGTGGTTGAATTCAGTATACACGTACCGTCACGATTTTGTTCATTCATTAATTCATTTTAGAATAATGGTTCTAAGTGCAGACAATTGTTAAAAATCTTAATGGGAAGGAACATACTTCTTTTTTCTCAATAACTGCATGTAATCTTTAGCGACGAAAGTTCCATTCCGATCTCGGGAGTTGCAATTGAAAATGTCATTACATGGATTATCATTGAGTACCCTAGAGCTTTTGATTAGTTTGCTATCAAAGTATATATAACGCAGTGTTGTCCAAATATTGATGTAGCTTAACAGGTTTTAAGAGAAACGTACAGGGTCCTTGAAAWGCTTGACAAAGGTGGGAGATGAAGGACTATAAAATCACAGGAAATTGAAGGAACTGTATCTAAGACCTAAAGGGTTATCTAAAGCCAATTAAAGCGTTAATCGAAAAGATACTTTAAAAGCTCATATATCAGACATATGTCAGAGTTCAAGTTCTATTGGGTATTCAGTTATTCTGTGCATTACCGTTACGCGATATA